TACTTCAGCGGCTGGTACATGACAACTGACGCTTTGACGGATGAGGATGGCATGTCACTTCAACAGCTAGAGTATGATAGTCAGTACATCAATATGTGAGGTTGACAGACCATCTCGTCAAGCAGCATGCTATGATCATGTTGATGAGAAGCTAGACTCCCTATGCCCATGAGGTCGGCTAAAATTTACATTGGCACGTGAATTCCTTTGTTGTTATACAATTAGTGTGTCTATTCTTTTAACTCTATAATAAATCATTGCAAGAGGAAAAACAATTAATAAAAAAATCTTATGCTCACTATTTATATAGCTTGGTCGAAGAGTAGTGAAGCGTCAAATCAATTTTGCTATAGATTAGACTTTGCTCCGCTTGGGGGTGCTTTGGCTATATCTATATGGAGTAACCGCTCAAGCTAACTTCTGAATTTGGACTTTTTTTATTTAGGGAGTGGTCACTAAAAATTCTAAGTGTAGGCTATTCCCTGCTTAAGAGACTTGTCTCTCCTGTGGTTGAAAGTTCTTCGAACTTATTGATTATACTTGATCTAGACCTAAGCATCTTAAACAATCGAGCTATTTTAAGTGAGGGAATGCACTTATGGAAAATTACAAAGCATTTTAGCATTAATCATCATAACTAATGGTAATGCTCTATATCTTAATGAGTAAACGATCGTATAAAAATTTTGGACTTCCCTACTCTAATGGCGTTACCAAGTGATACATTTGTTGTAATATCTTTTCTGTCATAGAATAATCATGGCATCATATGAAATATGATCGACGTACATGTACTGGAGGTTTTGTTATGTTGTTCAAGAAAAAAATTACATATGACATTAAAGATAGTAGTAATTGAGGTAGTTACTACAATTTTCAAATGTTAACTCTATGAGGACTATAAAAAACATCGTGTAGGTATAATATGGGTATATCATTACGATCCAGCCCATTAAGAAGTTTGCTCCCACTAGCTTTTTTTGTTGGGAGCTCCATTTCTCCTAGGCTGCTCTGATGTATGATAACATGAGGGAGAGGCTAAGAATCTTATAAGAAAGATTAATACCGATTCTACAACGAATAAGGAGGAAGGATGAGGTGTTGACCCACACATATACTCCACAAGATGAGTTGATCGGAGATGACAAGAGCAACAAAGCAAAAATGCGACGTTGCACTATAAAATTTGGAATGCGTCAATCATGCTTGAAATTCTTCTCAAGCAATCTGATAGTAAAAACTGACCACGCAACCAGGTCGGGAATATTAAAATTACCTAAGGAGGTGTTTTCTAAGATCAAAAGGAGCAAGCACTATGAATTTGACGGATTGTCGGTGCGACATGTGCAATTTGGATTGACTCATTTTGATGACCGTTGAAGTCACTTAAATGACTCCTGATTACAAAACAAATTATATGAGCGTGTTCGAAATATCAAAAGTGCCCAAGAAGATGTTTTTTATGATTGACACGACAAAGCATAATAGAAATGACAGAGCATTATTATCCCTAAAAATAAGCTAATTATATTTAAATTGTGATTATGGGTGTACCTAAGAACTAGTCTCACCTAAGAAAAAATACAGTCGATTAACTGTACAGGTGGGTTAATATATTTTTACTTAAAATAATTATGCCAGCTACACATATTCTTACTATTATCTTTTAAAAAATGCGAAAGTTCATGTTTTTCTTATAAATGTTAAATACAATAAAAAGAATAAAATATGATATAAATGTATGCATATATGAGTTACCCTTGGTTGGTACTGACAGAAAAATGCAATATATCCATTCATGAAAATGGAAATAAAAATGAAAATATTTGTCTATCATCAAACATATATTTATAAAGTAAATGTTTACACAACGGCACTCAATAATGAAAAGTATAATAGAAATAAATCAAAGTAAATGAAATTGTTTTCTTTTTACTGTATAGTACTGCATTTTTTTAAAATATTTTAAAATGAGAATTATTATAATTTAGAAACATTTAGCAACTGAATACTTCTAACTTAACCTTTTATTGTCAATACTTTACAAAAAAAAAAAAAAAAAAAAAAAAAAAAAAAAAAAAACACAACAGTGCCGCGCTAGATGGGCTTCAGAGAGCACATGTACAAGTGTTGAGATGTGCAGAATGATAGATATTATAGTTCAATTTTTATTTTCTGTTAGACATAAACGTTTAGATAAAAAAATGGTTATAAATATAATTTTTATGAAATAGAATATATCTTTAGTGTTCCGGATTTTATTTTAATCAAGAAATGAAATTGTTAGATAGTTTTCTTCCGTTAGATCAAAAAATTCTCGCCTTGATAATTCCAAGTTCTCGACTAGTCATGACATAATGTAGTATTCTTTACTTAATAAATTAATATGAGTCTTTCTCCAAAAATATTATTTCAACGCTTTTAATTGTAAGATAAGGTTAAACAAATTAACCAAGTTACAATCAATTACGCAATTACTTAAAGAATAAAAAAGTCTAATAGAAAACACTTTTGTAATGGTCAGCACGTCGACACAAATACTTTATCACCTTAGCTCTATAATACCAAACAGTACAAAAGACTACCAATATATATGTATATATATACATTCATACGTATATGTAGGTATGTATGTATATATGTATAAACACACATGTGTGTAGACATGTAGATACAAGCATGTTTGTATGTACATACATACATGCATATATATACGTGTGTGTGTGTGTCGTTCGCCGTGACTCTTTGGTAGTGCAGTTTGGCGTAAGTCTCCTAAGGACACAGGTTCAATCCCGTCTGATTGCATTTGTATTATAGTGCGGAATCGAGTGGTTAGACACATGAGAGTAGCTGGAACAAGTATCATAGCCTCCGACCATTCAAATGGAGCAAGTTTTACAGGGAAGCGAATAAAGCTGAAGACAGTTTGGCTAAGTTGGGCGTTGATTCTGACTACCCGCAATTTGGTCTCGCGCCTGACAATAATCTTGTCAGGTTCATCAAAGGTGATATTTTGCAGCTGCCGTTTCTAAGGTTTAACTGATGCTCTTACAGGTTGAATAGTTGCGAAACTGTTCTTTGTGTCTTTTTCTACTTGTTTTTATTTAGCCTGAGTTGGACCTCTCTGTGGAGGACGATCCATAGATTTTTCTATTTTGAGTAATTGTATTTTTGGGTTTAGTTGGAACCTCCAACTGCCTCCTGTACTTTTTTTTCCTTCATCAATAAAATTTCTTACGGGGTTTCGAAAACAAAAAATTTGTGTACATCTATATATGTATGTATGTGTGCATGTTATTGCGTGTGTGTATGTATGTATATATATACTATCATACCACTCTCACCAACCAACATCCCTCAAACTCAATTTAACAACTACACAAAATAATGATAATAATATAAAGCAACAAGACATGAGATGAACTCCTCATTTGTCACTCTTCATCTCTTCCTCTGATCATTCTATTTCTTCTTCTTTCTCTATTGTTATTGTGGCATGTCGAGGTTTTACATGACTAGAATTTTAGTCCTGCAAGAAAAAAAAAAAGGTTCGGCTGAATAATTTTCAGCTGATAGTATATGTGCCAAGGCTTAGTTGCAGTCAGTCATGTATGAAAGCTAATGTTGTTGTTGCTTTATATAGTAATAAAATTTTTTAGTCGCTAAGAGCTTGTCTATTTGTAGAAAAAGTGTTATGGTATGGCTCATATATCATATCGGGACAGACGCTGGATCGAAGCGGAGCAGAGCGGAGCGGAAGAATCTGTCCAAATTGGGAAGTTACGTGGGTTGGGATGCGGGGGCAAAGCCCCGCGGTATGGTACAGGGGTAATGTTGTAATTACATATTGTGCCTAGGTTTACTCCTGGGGTTATAAATAGGCCTGTTAGTAACCCCAGGAGGAATCCCTCTATTTTGTAACCCTTTTCTGAATAGTGAAAGAAACTCGCCGCTCTGCTCCCGAGGACGTAGGCATCTTTGCCGAACCTCGTTAAATCTCTGTGTTCTTCTGGATTTGTGTCGATTACTGTTTTCTTCGCCCTTATTTTCTCAACAAACACCTATACTTTAATTTTTACATTTACACTGCATCTAACATTTACGTCACCCAAATCTAACATGATATTATTAAGTTGTTTCACATTCTTAGATGGTTTCTCTTTTTACTACTTGGTACAATGGGCTACTACTCAATTAGCAATATATGCTACTAATAATATTCAATCAGTAGCATTGTAATATTAGAAGAGAAAATGTATGAACTCACCCAAAATTTTTGAGGGGAATTTACTTACACCCAGTTCTCATTTATTACATATACAACACCTATACTTTAATTTTTACATTTACACTGCATCTAACATTTACGTCACCCAAATCTAACATGATATTATTAAGTTGTTTCACATTCTTAGATGCTTTCTCTTTTCACTAAAAAGGGAAGGAGCGGAACTTGCGTTGATGGCCAACAGAAAAGGAAGGAGCGCCGGTCTCGGGCAGAAACGGAAAGGTTCCTGGGCAGAAACGGAGAGGAATAAAGAAATATTCGATTTCTTAATTAAAGGAATATTCCTTTGAGGCATATATTTGGCTCCGCTGAAACAGGGCTTTGAAAATCGAAAAGGAAAGCTTTACTGCTGCTTTGAAAAAAAAATAATTGGAAAGAAAAAAAATTTTTTTTTTATAATTAAGCTTATTCAAAACATTTAATTAAGGAAAACTTAATTAAAGAAATTTAATTAAGAAAAATTCCTTAATTAAGGAAAAAGTTTTTTTTTATTTAAAAAAAAAAAAGAGGTTCTAAGCAAGGATTTTTTG